ATACCGGTTATGGCCAGAGCCAATACGTTCCTTAGTGGCATCAAATCCTTGAGATATAAGAAGGTGGACACGATTCTGAGTGATGACATCATCTCCATAAAAGAAGGTGGACGACGGAGGTACTTGATTGGTCGAGAGGAAAACCTGAGTCAGAGGACACGTGGTTGGATCACGAGGAGCTATAGCAAATTGACCTCGACGCATTGGAGATCTATGAAAGCACCCGGGGCGCTTACTCGACGGAGTCGAGCTTTCCCACCCTTGGAGAATGATGGGACATCGGAGCTTGAAAGCCTATCAGAGACGTGGCCGTCGATCTACGGCCACGATCAAGTCAATGTATTTTTAAGTTGTATTATGTATTTGTCTTTTATTTATTTATGTTTGTAGTTGCTTTATTTGTTTCCCCTTTTTACCCCTTGCTTTAGGGTGGTCATGTGTAAGCCCAAAGGGGTTCGTCATCTTTTATTTTTAAGTCCATTATATGAAGTTATATATAGCCCTTATGTTCACTTTTCATGGTTAATGATTGAATAATAAAATTTTATGCATTGTGAGTTCTTGAGAGAGCTTGAGAGCGTTTGGGAGAGAGAACCCTTGGAGCTGGAATCGTATCACCCGCCAGCCTTGGAAGAGTCCGGGCTCGCGGCTAGTTCGTCGTATCTTTTCTTCCTCCCGTTCTCCACCCTAACCCGCCGGCCCATACACCCCATCCCCTTTCAAGACGCCGCCCCTCACCACCATCCTACCCGTTGGCTCATCCCACCACCACCACCACCTCAAACCACCACCCTCCTCCCCTACAACCACTAGCCAACTTACCCAAAACCCCACCCCCACCTGCTGGCCCCTTCACCTAACCGAACCCCAAGCCCAAGCCGCCGCCCACTTCCCCCTTTAGGTTTTCCTGCCATCATTGCTTGCAATTACCTCTTTCCTAATTAGGTTTTAATATTTTAGGTAACTCAATTACTTTTCAAATTCAAATTTATTTGAATTTGAAAAGTTACCCAAAATACAAATCCTATTTTAGGAAAGTTTCCAAATCCCTTCCTATTTGAGTTTTAATTTAAACTGGGATGAAATATCTCTTCACAAATTTAATTCCCTAACTCCATGAAGCATTAAATGCTTCCATAAAAACCTCTCTAGTCTCCCTATGCTGCCGGCCCCCATATAATTTCCCCTTGGATTTATTTCCTAAAGCCAATCTCCGCTCTTAGAAATAATTCAAGCCATCATCCGCCTCTATTGGCCGAAATTTCCAAAAGTCCCCACCTCCTTGCTATTTTCTAAAATCCCATCTTTAATTTTTGGAAGTAAATCCCAGCTCCCCCTCTCTTGCCCGCCGCCCCACTCTCTCTTTCCTTTCATTAACCCCTTTTAATCAAGGGGACTTATTAAGGAGTTGTTTGAATTAAATTCCCTCCATAAAATCTGAACCAAAAGTCTTCCCCTAGCCTCCTTCATTGGCCGGCCACCCCCTCCTTCTCCACTTCAACTTTTTAGAGAAACTTCTTTCTCTCTAGTGGAGTCTTCAAGGGAAGCAACAACGATCTTCGTCCACTCATCAACCTTATGAAACCAATGAATGGACGATCCGAAACTTGACTACGGATTCTCTTACGACGAGCAAGGGAACGTCAACATCCTCCACTCCACCTTCTTCGACTTCAACCCAGAAGTCGATAACTCCATTGAAGAGTACGTGGACCACATCATCTTCACACTTTCAGAAGCCATCGATGAACAACTTGCCAATATCCAGTGGCAAATTGTTTCCGGACAACAACAAGGGTGAACTTCATCCCCTATTCACTTATCTTCCTATTCCGCTAATCTTGTAGGTGGTGATCAAGTCGTAAGGAATCGTGCCTCGCTTTCTACCTCCGTTTAGTAAACATAGGATTTGAGTGTACTTTCTATGTTACTTATGTCGTTGTTAGATTAAGGATTTCTATTGAATAACTACTTAATTAGTATGTTGTTGAAATTCTAAATTGTTTTAATGATTCAAATACTTAGCATGTGATTTAGCCTAAGCGTAGCTACCCCTCTTACGTTTTCCATTATCGTTTAGTGGCTAATAGTCTTAATTGTTATTTGTTCTTATCAAAATCGTGCAAGTTCTTATCACATTCTTTTAAAGCATATTTAGTTCTGCATCATAACTCCTATGGTTGGATGACTATAAAGAACTCTACCATGACTTTGATTGAAGTTGGCCCACGCACCTACAGAGGCTTCTACTCCATCTCTTTCGTAAGGTTCAAGATTAGTTTGGAGATCAGAGCCTTACTTGTAGGCATGTCAAATTCTGAAGTCGTAAAGGATTTGTTTATCTTTTCCACGAAAGAAGAATCTGGAGAGCTGGATTCTCTGCCTATCCTACATTTAGAGAAGTTTCAACTCTGGTTTTTGTTATTTGAACACTTTCTAAAACTTGTCGGAGAGACTTTCCATTAGGCTATTTACTTATGGAACTTGGGATAACCTCCTGGTAGAATTTGCCAGTTTAATAGATATCTTACTAGAAGAAACCCATAGGAATCCATTCACAATCTAGAACTTATTGAAGTTCCTCTGATATCATCCAACTATAAGCTTAACTCACCTATGACACAATTAGCTACACCAAGTTCAATCTATGTAATCATATTGTATAATAAATTTTTGAACCCTTACCGGGATTCTCACTTATATATCTTTGGTTACTGGTTGAGCGTGAACTCTTGCAATCTGAAACCTTCAATCGAAGCACTTCTCATAAAATTCTATCAAAATTTCTCTAGGATTCTTCTCAGAATATCTCTCTGATTTGTCCTTTTATAGCTTGGTTGAACTCACTTTTTTGTGTGAAAGTTATTCGACTAGATCTTCTGTAAAATAATTAATTTCCAAGACTAACTGAGACCTAGTTTCCCTGTCACCTTTTTGCACTTTGGGCTTGATCTATACCTTAGTAAGGTATTGATATATTTTTTACAGATAAAATTGCATCCACACATATGTTAACTGGTTATGCTTGGTTTTATACTTTGATGTACTCTGGTAGACTCTGGGGCTATTTGGTTTGCTGCATTAGGAGTGTAATATATTACAAATGCAAGGGTTTTGAAATATTGGTGTTTGGTTTGAATTAAAAGGAATGCAGAGTAAAATTTTGAATTAAAAGAAATTCACTTTCTAGTTCAAATTCAGTGTATTTAGAATTTCTCTGATTTGATAGATTTCTAAGTATACTACAAATTCATCGACATTGCCACCGCCAAATGCCACCTCTGCCGCCACCAACAGCCAACCGTCGGCCCTTCCCGTCACCGCTGGCTTCCTCCTCCCGCCTGCCACCACAACCAACCTCATCTGCCCTCTTCCCGCCATTGCCAGTAGTTGTCGTCCTTTGCTACCCACCTCCCACCATCGTTGGCCACTGTTAGCCACCCCTGCCACTGCCAGCCACACCCATCACCGTCGGCCACCCAGCCACCACCGCCCACCCACGCAACCATCTGCCACCCTCTCCACCTCTAATCGTCGCCGGCCACCCCCGCCGCCATCGAACCTTCGCCATTGGCAGGCCACCCCGCCACTGCTGGCATTCTCTTTACACTGCATTCACTTTGCTTCAAGCCAAACAAAAAAATAGTAAAAACCTATATTTAATTTAGGCCAAATTTTAGAAAGGAATAAGTTTATAAATTAAATTAGTGTAAGGAGCGTAATATAAGAAAAATTTTAAAAGGAGGAAAATTACCAAAAATAATTTGGCTTGGTGCATTTCTGTAAGCTCCAAATAACTTGGCGTATTCTGCTTTTCAGAGAGAGATGGTAGAGAGTATAAGGAGAGAGAGGGGGGTGATGCAGGTAACATAAGTGGGGCGGGTAAAATTTTAAAATTAATTAACTTAATTATTTGATTAAATATTTAAATATTAAAAGTTGCTTAAATATTTAAAATAAAATTTTAATCAACTTTAAATATTTTAATTAACTTTCAAACTATATTTTATAAAGTATTTAGTTTAAAATAATTAATTTAGAAAATTAAATTTATTCATGAATATTAATCATTTATTTTAATTCAAAATTTATATTTATTTAAATTGAAATTTATTTTAACATTCTATTAATTTAAAACTTCATTTCATTTAAATATAAAAATTTAAATAAATTAATATAAATATGAATGATAAAAATATTTAATACAATTTTTAATATGATGAATATTATAATTATTATATTATATTTAAAAAAAAAATAAAATATATATTACACTTTATATTTATTTTAAATGAAAAATTTAAATTTTTTAAATTAATATTTAAATGTTAAAATAAATTTAAATTAAGATTAATTAAAATAAATATAAATATTTAATTAATATTTTAAATTTATATTATTAAAAAAAGGCTTTTGAAACTTGGTAATTAAAAGATTTAAAGTTATTAGAATTTTTTTATATTCAAATATTTAATCAATATGTAAGTAATTAACTTTCATATTTCGGCTCCTCACTTAACTTACCTGCATCTTCTCTCTATCAGCCCCTCTTTCTCCTCCACGCCCACCTCTCCTTTTCTCTCTCTGCCCTCTCTTTCTCTCTCCTTGTACCTCCGTCCTCTCTGCTCTCTCTTTTCTCTCTCTCTCTCTCCTCTTCTCTATAAATGTGCAGAATACGATCAAATTTTTTGGTGTATTTCAGAAGTCGCCAAATATTTTTGGTTATTTTGCTCCTTTTTAAAATTTTATTTATATTGCGCTCCTTACACTAATTTAAATTTTAATCCTGCTCCTTTATAAATATTTTGTCTTTTACATCTCAACCAAATAACTCCAAAGTATTTCTAATACACTGCAATTTTTTACACTGTACTTCTTTTTCAGGCAACAAAATAGCCCCTTTATTTTTTAGATATAATTCTTTGAATAAAGATGAGTCTTCGAACAAAGGAATTTTTTTAATCAGATAGAGTTGTTGATTTACCTATTGTTGTTTACAGGTTTTCTTTCTGTAATATCAAAGTTGGGCTTTGTTTTCTCTGAGCAGGGATATTCTATGATGTTTGGTTCCAATATGCATATTAATTAGCATATGTTGCAGTGCCGTTTTGGATTTGTTTGTCAGGTAACCTTCAGTAATTCATCTAAGATTTCATTTGGGACAGCTTTCTTATTGCTTTCTAAAGTAACTTTCTAGTACAAAAATTTCTAGTTAAAAAAATTTTTTTTACTAAAAAGTTACTTTAGAAAGCAGTAAGAGAGCTGTCCCAACGAAGCGTAAGTTCTCTCTATATAATTGGTTATGCTTTCTTTATAAACTTTGAACACAAGCTTGTAATAGACGAGCCTGGTCCTGTCGTCGGTTTAGACTTCATATAAGTGGTAGTTTAATCAACCCGCAAAGCTTAATGTATAATGCTGAAGATTGATCTTACCTAACGTAATGTGTCAGTCTTTTTTTTAATCAAGTAATTTGAAGAACCAGTAAAGTTATTTCATTTCTCGATAATTCTCCTTATCTCTAAAATTTATGTGCAACTATTTCTGTTATTAGTTCTTATCTCTTATTCTCTCTAAGATTGAACACTGTATTAGAGGCTAATAATATAATTGGAGAACACACACAGATCATATATATATATATTACTATATATATATATATATATATATATTAGTAGTATATATATATATTTAATTATTATATATATATATATAACTTTTTCTTCAACTCCCTCCCCCCGGGCCCTACGTCAGCAGCAATTAACATTTTGTAGTTTCTGTCTGCTGTTTTGAGTTCAAAGTTAAAGTTAGAATTAATTTTGATTCCCTGTTACCTGTTTATTAATATTTAATACTACATGGTCTGGGTGTCTGTGTCTTGACCATTTTCTTTTAAATTGCTAGAAATTTGGACACTGTAATTATCTAATAGCTTATTGGTTTCCTAGGCAGCATTTTTGGTTCTTTTTTTGATGGGTCTTTTTGCTTTTATCCAAATCTCATCAATGGTTTGATAAATGTAGAAAGCCTAAAACCATTTAGCATGGTTGCAGTGCGTGAAGTTCATGCTTCAAAATGTTTATTATTTTTTATTATAGATTTTGAAATATTAAAAATATTTTATGTATTTTTATAGAATCAAAATGTATAAAATGATTTAAGTATCGATCAATTATTGTAGACTTGAAAGATTCTAATGTGTCGTTAAGATGTTCAGCAAAGAAAGTATACTACGCATGTGTGTGTGTGTGATGTGAAATATCATAATTTGTTTATGCAACAGAAACAGAAGTTCATCATCAAATTATGATATCACTATATCAAGGATAAATAGTCAGAGTGATACGTAATGTTTAAAAAAAAAAGATAATAGAGAACTACAATTTAAAACGATGCATATGTGAAGAGTAAATTGGGGATTGAAAATGCAAAAATATCATTGAAATGGTTCTAATTTGTTAGGAGGCCTGAAGTATGTTGAAAGAGATTTAGGAAGATGAGTGCAGCAAAGGTAGCTCTTAGAAGGAATGATCATTTTTTTGTTTCTTGAAACTAGCACAAATTATTTAAAAGAAGCTTAAATTGTAATGAATTCATGGATGGTGGAATCATGTGTTGGTCTATATCTTTTAACTGCTTGAATTTAGGTCATCGTTTATAAATTATTGAGCAAATGACTAATTATTGCATGTTTTGGTTATAATGAGCAATGCCAGTATAGTATTATATATTCATGTTATCTATGCTTAGCATCAATTTGTTGTCAGGTTGTATATCTTGCTTCTATTAAATTCTAACATAGTTTTTGTTGTGGCTGCGGACAGACTCGAGGACTGAAACACGGGAGGGCTATTGTGGTTTCCACATGCACTGCAGTTGCCTCCATTGTGAGTGGTGTCCTTGCTGGTATGTTTGCGCTTGGTGAAAGCCTTCCTTCTGCTCCAGTTGCCCGGCTTTCTTTGTTGCTTGGATGGTAAACTTTATACCACTATTACTTTCTTAACTTTTGTTTAGTTTGAAAAAAATCAAGCCAAGAAGGAAAGAAATGGAAATTAAAACCATCTTTGCTTTTGGTGTGTGTTAGGAAGTGCATGCACTTTTCACAAAAATCAGAGGGGTGAAACACAAAAAATTTGGAAGAATGCCCCAAAATAAGTTTTATTGAAAAAACTATAAAGAGAAATGCAAGATACAATTGGATCTTCAATTAGAGAGGAAGATCCGGCTCTCCCAAATCCCTAGCTGCCGGCTAAAGCCCAAATAACCTAGAATAAACTAAATTCAGCAAACTCCCAAAATATAATTTGAAATCATCCCATAGTTACCCTTAAATAAGCTCCCATAATTCCCTCCCAAATCAGCCCCATTTCCCTAAATAAATCTCTCTCAGATTTTAATTCAAATTAGATTTATTTTTCTAATTAATTCACTCCTAATTGTAATTAAAATTTTTCTAAACAACCCCCCCTTAGTTCCTCCTCATTTTTCCTAAATAATTCTCTCTTAGATTTTGAATTCAAATTAGAGCTCTTATCCTAAATAATTCCGTACCAATTGTAATTAAAAATTTTTCTAAACAATTCTCCTTTGATTAATAACATTCATAAATAGTTCCCTATTGATTAGGATACTTCCTAATTCCCTCCCAATCAAATTGGCCAGTCTATCAGTGTGCTAGTTCAGGGTGTAATAAGGAGGAAAAAGAAAGTATAAGAAATTTGTTCTTTTTCTTCTTCTCTTTTTGTTGTTGTCAAAAAGGGGGAGAAAATATTGCTTGTTCTCGTATTTTGTTCGTATTATATTGTTTGTTCGTATTTTTTTGTTCCGTATCGTATTTGTTTGTATTTTAAAAAAAAAAAAGGCTTGTGCAAATGATGGTGAACCTCCTTATTCTCACATGTTTATCCATTTAGGGGGAGTTTATCAATTCAGTGAGAGTTTAGGAGATTCTTATAATTTGAAAATTATATAAACAATAATTATTTTGCAATCATAAAAAAGGGGAAGATTGTTAAGAGAGTTGTTATTTGCATGTTTTACATTTTTGCAACCTGTATAGTTTTGATGATTCCAAATATTATTGTTTTAAGTATTATATTCTCCTAACACTTTTTGGAAGAATTATTTTTTGCTCTTGTGTGAACTAACAGTTCAGGATAATCGAACTCCAGACTAATGAAGACTTCAAATGTTCGTATTATATTGTTTGTTCGTATTTTTTTGTTCCGTATCGTATTTGTTTGTATTTAAAAAAAAAAAGAGACTTGTGCAAATGATGGTGAACCTCCTTATTCTCACATGTTTATCCATTTAGGGGGAGTTTATCAATTCAGCGGGAGTTTAGGAGATTCTTATAATTTGAAAATTATACAAACAATAATTGTTTTGCCATCATCAAAAAGGGAGAGATTGTTAAGAGAGTTGCTATTTGCATGTTTTACATTTTTGCAACCTGTATAATTTTGATGATTCCAAATATTATTGTTTTAAGTATTATATTCTCCTAACACTTTTTGGAAGAATTATTTTTTGCTCTTGTGTGAACTAACAGTTCAGGATAATCGAACTCCAGACTAATGAAGACTTCAAATTAATTTCAGCATAAGATAGTTTGTAAATTGAAGTCTGTATTTTTCAATTTTTTGAGTTTGAATGAATGTGATTGTAATTGAGTAACTTAGCACAAAAACACACTTGGGGAGATCTTTAAAAATCAAATTTTCTTATACTGATCGTACGGGACGAACCAAGTTCGTATGGGACGATCAGGTCAGTTATCCCCTCGTAAGAGCAATGGAACGAATAGGAAGTGAGAAAATTTTTCTAAGTCCTAATTGTCCAGACGAATTTCCCTATTTGTCTCGGGACGATGTGCTCTGGATTCTCACTTTGATGGATTTTGCGATCTTTTTTTTGTGTACATGCTACAGGTCAACTTGTGCATATCTAATAAAATGTCAAACTAAGAAATATAAATTACAGAATAAAATTAAAACGAATACTAAATTTGCTGGTGTGTTTGAACAGTCAAATTGCCATAAAATTTCCTTTTTGATTTCCTTCCCATCACTGGTAAATACAAAACACATTTTACAAAAATCATAGATTTCATATTTAGGATGGTGATAATTAGATATAAACAGATTTCATATTCTCATAAAAAATGAGTAAAAATCAAATCAAATCGAATATGCGTTGTATTTTTTGTGAATTTGTTGTATCGAAATAAATGAGGCTTATACCCTTACATCTATTTGATTCAGATGTTTTGATTTATATCCCCACTGCAGGCTCTTCGTCATATCTGGAATCATTCTTCTGTTTTGCTCTGCACGAGTAATGTCGCTTCTTCCAAGGCCTCTTCGGCGCCTTCTAAGGAGCAGCAAGGAGAGGAACCACAACCTTAAGCGCTCCCCTTCTACTCGACAGAAGGATTCAAGTCCTAGTGCAGTGATCCATGCCTCAAATTTGCACCATTTAATGGCATCTTCAGCTCTTAAAGAGAAACCCTGAAGGAGAAACAGGAAATATTACTATTCTTCATTTCCGAACAAATTTACCTTTCTTCTTATAGTATTCGTGACCCCCCTCCCTTCATCACTGAGTTGTGTACACTCGGAACATTCATCCGTTAGTGATGGTAAAATGCATTGGAGAGATGCTTTAATGCGGTTAATGTTAATGATAGTTATTTACTCGAAATCAAGTGGCATTATCAACAGTTAGCAGATATGAAATGTCAGATTTTAGTCAATGAACAAATAATTTAAGGGTTTGATTGTTTGGAGCATAGGGTGATAGGGGGGCTTATTTGGTTGTTTGTAGACAAACAAGCATTAAAAAAATAATAATAATAATAATAATTTAATACTAATCGTTTTTATGAGAAAGAAAAATCATTAGATTTGACATATTTTTGAGAGGGCTAAGTTTAAAATTAATTTTGATGTCTAGTTAGCCCAGTTAATAATGAATTTAGTAACTTTTTCTTTTTTTAAATTTCAAGCAATCAGTTGGTCCTATATTAACATTCTCATGTATATGCAACTAACATTAATCTATTGGTTGGGAGTTTTGTCTATCAACTAAGAATTCTTGAGTTCAAAGTTTATATATGTGATGTGTGTGTAAGGATGCCTTAATTGATCTACATGTTACCCAAAAAAAAAAAAAAGAAACATTCTCATAATCTTCTTTTAAGATTAGATAGGACTATTTTATGGGTAAGGAGAGGATTCTTTTTATCTATAATAATATTATAAAGCATCTTGGAATTTCACCCCCTTCAATATTTACTAAAAATGTATACAATCAAATATTTTTTGTTCATTCCAATTATTTAATTGAAATGCTTAATAAATATTTCTAGGAACAAGAAAATCTTGATTATTTCATTTAAATTCAAGCCAATAATCACAATTAAAAGTGGGAAATTTGACTTAGTACCCTTTATAATATATGTGTTTGGATAAATATCTGTTAAATTTTTTTAATGAAATATACTTTAGAAGTCTACTTATGATGAAAATACTCTTAAAGAAGATATCTGATGAGTGTAAATAATATTATGTTTTGTATGTTAAATTGTTGGTGAAGTCATTTTGTTTTAGCTATGTTTGTGTAGGAAAATGTAGGAAATGTGTAAAAATTTCAAGTATAGTACAATGTCGCGGTGTTGGATACTATACTGTCGCGACGCCATCATTGATACCGCCAGAGCACCAAATACATACATGATTGTGCCAAATCTCTGTCTAACAGCTCCAAAGCATTAGAGGAATCAGCGTTGCAAAGCCTAATATTGTCTACATAGCGTCGCAATGGCAATTTCCAGCGGTGCTAAGCTAAGAGGAGTGTCATGTGGATGCCGCAGCACTCAACCGTCATCTGTGCTTCATCGCTACAGCTGTAACCATTGAGGACACGATCTATTTGCGAAGCGACACATCTATTCACTAAACAACAGGTCCACATCAGCAAGTGCCGTAGTGGAGGAAATCCTTCAGCACTGTGGCGTTAGTTCATTTTATGGGTGCCACGACACAAGTTTCTTGAGCGCCGTGGTGTCATAATCCATTTTCTATTTTTCTATAAATAGCTTGTTTGTAATGTTAGTAAGAGAGTTCAATCACTTAATTAATTTCAATCATCACATTGCTTCTCTACCATTTTTTTAGGAGTGACAACTAAGGAAATTCAGGGAGAATTAGATCCACTTCATATAAGTGTTTGGTCAATATTTGTTCAAGTAATTCTTTAAGTTTAAGGAGGAGCATAGAGGAGATCCATAAACCTATTCGGTGATATCTTCTATTTTATAGTTTTTTTTTCTTTTGGCAATTAATGAAAATAGTTTGCTTTACTTGTTCTTGATGTCTAGCTAAATCCTTTAATTTTGGATTAATGGTGTAAATGAAATATGGGGTACTAATGAATTATCTTAATCAATAATTTTATGATGTAAAAGGTCTTCATTTAATGCACATAATGACCATTTGTGTAGTTAATATCACGTGTAATATGGAGCCTAGGAATAGGAAAGCAGACACAATCAGGTATATTGGATTGGTATGAGGCAAGCATAGGCATAAAGCTTGATATATATTAAATTTATAAAGATGAATTATAATGTGGGAGTTTTTACAGTACATGCTTTACTTACTCTTCCAAGATTTTCTTAGGGTGACTAACTATGGGAGCTTATTGTGATATTGATGTTGGAATGGTTGAATTTATCATTTATCTCTTCATGCTTAACTAAGCACAGTTGGTGATGCATATTCACTGAATATCTTCAATATAAAAGAGAATTTTTAGAAAACAAATTGTATTTATATTCCATCAATCCAAAAATTTTATCCAAATATTGTTTCATTTAATTTTTTTTATTGATTCTAAACCAAGTGGTTGAATCTTCAAAAAAAAAACTTATTTTTATTGAGTATGGTCAATGTTAAAATTGTACTAGAAGTACTAGTAATTAAAAAAAAAAACCTTTTTTCCTCGTGGGATCAATACTCTACTCTATTACTGTATTACTTGATTTGACATGTATACTTGCGTACATTAAGTGGAGTTTTTATAATCTTTATATGAAAGAAAATCTAAGCATTGTTTAGGGATTCATAGAGCCCTAAATTTCTTTCATAATTTTTTAGGTTACTCCAGCGCGCCCATCAAGTTTTTTGCACCGTTGTCCAGAAAGATTTTGTTTTATTTGTAATTTTTCTATATTGTTGAATCAATTATATAATTAGTCTTATTATATATTTTATTTTATTTTACTTATTGCATAATTATAGTTGTATGCTTAGAAACCATAGAAGGGAACCATTGCTAGTTTTTTATTCAGAAATTTAGAGAACCCTTTCTAAAATTAGAAACAAAAAAATAATTTTGAAAATGGCTTACCCTGTTCAAGACTGAGATCATTCTAATCCTTTCAAGGATTTTAAAAACTCTATGGTAGATGGAATCCATCAGAGCATAAATAGACCTGCCATCCAAGATAATAATTTTGAATTAAAACTTGCAATCATTCAGATGGTACATAATTCTTAGTTTTGGGAAACTGCCATTAAAGATCCTAACATATATTCACCAAATTTCTTAGAAATTTATTCAATATTTAAGTACAATAATGTTAGTGATGATGTCATTAGACTTAGATTGTTCCCATTTTTGCTAAGAGGCAAGAAAACAAAAGTGGTTAAATTCCTTACTCCCAAGCCCTATTACTACCTGGAATGAGTTGACTCATAAATTTCTAGGAAAGTATTTCCCACCTTATAAGATTGCCAAATAGAAATGATATTAGTTCTTTTACTCAGAAGGATAATTTATTTATGAGAGTTGGTAGAGATTCAAGGAGATGCATAGAAAGTTTTGTCATCATGTCTTGCCTGATTAGATAATTTAAACATTTTATAATGGATTGGTAGGATCCCTTAGAGCTATAATTGATGTTGCAGTTAGAGGTTCTTTGATGTTAAAGCCTTTAAGGAGGTTTATGAATTAATTGAGAAAATGAAAATAAATAATTTCTATTTTTCTATTGATATCCTAAGAGAGTGATATGAGTTTATAAAAATGATTATTTCTTCATTTTGACTGCACAAGTTGAATCAATATTAAAGAAGTGGAACAATTTAGGCTTAAATTTTGATTCATCCTTACATTTGAAAGGTAAAAACTCAATGGAAGAGAATGATATCCAAGGGATCGAAAATATAAATTTCATTAGGAGACAAAATAATCCCAAATCAAATATATATAATTATTGTTGGAGGAATCATCCCAATTTTAGTTGATCAAATAAAAATGTTGATAATTAATGGAATTTTAGTCAAAATAACCAATGAGCAAATTAGAATAATCAAAATCAAGCTAACAACAATCCAAGACCAGCTTATACTCTTGGTTTTAATGAATGCAATCAGTATGAAACTAGAAAGACATCACTAGAAGATCTGGTCATGCAATTGGGATGTTAATTACAAAACCAAGCAACTTCAATTAAACAATTAGAAACTCAATTAAGTTAACTTCCAATTTCTGTGAGTAATAGGCTCATAGGAGTTTACCTAGTAACACTGAAGTTAATCCTATGGAGAAGGAAAGAGATACAATGGAACTCAATTGAAGATTAGCAATCATCTGCTTTAGCCAAATAGAAAATCTGGGTAAGTCTAATTGAAGACTATAAACTTAATGCTTCTTGAGAGGCAACCTAGCCTTAGGTCTAGGAAAATATCGAGACTGGCTAAAGATTATAAACTTAGCTATTTTAGGAAGGAAACCCTATCCTCTAGATTTGGTTTTGCTTAATTTTCCTCAAAAAAATCTTTGAGAGAGAACAAGGGATTGCCCAATGCCATATCTTCAAACGTCGTAGCCGCCAGACGGGCCAAAATGATTAAAATTTCAAAATTTTCAAACTTCCTTCGTACTGAATAAAAGTTTGTGAAGGTTGTTAGACCTTATAGAACTAGCCCTAAGGCTAACCAAGAGAGGGTTAAATTGGATATTTAAAAAACTCTTAAAAAGAAAATTACAACTTGATGTGGAAAGTGAATTAAATTCACAATAAAAAGATAAATCAGAGTTTTCACTCATGCAGATAATTTTATGAAAAATAAAGTGCGAAAAGTAATAAGAATAAACACACCTGAATTTATAGTGGTTCGGTCAACATGACATACATCCACCTCTTGAAGACTCCATCTCCAAGTATTACACTAAACCTTTAATGACCCTCCTTTAGCCCCGATAGCTAGGTGGAGAAGCTCTTACAAAATCGCTTCCACCAAATCGGTGCGGCAGAGGACTTCGAATCCTTTTTCACCCTGCTGGTTTTGGCAGAGAACCACAAATCCTTTAACCGGCATATAACCTTGAATCGCTTTCACCTTCCCTGGTGCAATGGAATAGTCGGGTCCTTTGACAACCAAGAGAGATCTTCTACTTTCCAAAACTTCCCTCAAGACAAACTTTGACTATGATGGTAATAAGGCGCAAGCTTGCAGAAGCAACCTTGTGAAAGGCCCTCCACACTCCCTTGAAGTCCACAGGGATCTTCTCCTTCTCAAACTCTACACTTTCCTCTCTCCCTTCAAAGGCTCTTTCTTCAAGTTTTCTCTAGAAGAAAAATGACTCATTGCTTGCCAAAGACTCTTACAAAGTCTTATGAGAAAGCTTAAATAGAGGGCTTTGAAAAAACCCTAGAACTTTAATTCTGCAATCAAAGATTGTATAGTACGATAGCAGGATCGTC